AGAAAAGAAATAACTAAAAATGCTGCAGAGATCCTTCGGTGTGTTTGCTGGACTTCCCTGAGCAGCAGCTGCATGTTTAAACCAGCAACTCTCCATTTCTGCAACAGCAAACTCTTGTGTTTTGAATCATGTGCCACTCAAAAGCAACAAGTCACCAGAAAGTTACGTCAAAATGAACCAGATGTAGTTTTTTAATGTGTTTGTCTGACTGAATCCACATCAAACTGCTGCAACATAAATGCTAAACAAAACTTCCCCACTGATCTCTCTTAAGTGACATTACCCTCCTTTAAAAATGAAACCCTAAAACAACTATATGATAAGAAGGAGGCAACAATGTTTTTGGCTATGTGTTTGCAAAATATCTCATGAACCAATGGACAGATTTTAAGGAAACTTTCACAACTGATTAGCTAGAGTCAATTTAAAATCAAGACGGCCTCCACAGCTAAGTGATGATCATCAACACAAAAATAATTTCTGTAGTTGAAAGTCATTTTTTAACAGATATTCAGATGAGACTCACTCATAACATTTACTGAGCATAACTTCAGGCAATGTTGTATGAAATTGCAATTATTTTTAAGCTTTATCTTTGCCATTTCTCAAGACAGGATGATCTTAGTCTAAAACTTTGGCAAAAAAGGTGGAGGATGATAGATCCTTCACAGAATGTCTTTAATTTTTGGATCTGGAAATATGGAAATGTGACATTTTATCTGAGCTTTTTGGTTTATAGCATTAATAATAAAAAGGTTGGATTTACTGTGTATTCTCTTAAGACTAAACAAATGATTTTAAGACAGAAAACTGTTAAAAAAATGAAAATGAACACAAACACATTTTCTATCCTGCAGAAAAAAAAACACATATCAAATGTTTTAATGCTGAGTTTCTGCTTGTTAAACAAATAAGTTATGTTAAAAAAAAACCTAAACATTTTGTGCATCCAAAACCAAACATCAAATACAGAATTTTAATGATTTGAAAACCTGCGTACAGCACAGCATCATTAAGGTTAAATAACCTGAAGGCAGGTCATTCAGTTTCAAGAAACCTTTAACTTCTGCAAAAATCCAAAGTAAAATAAAATACATTTTTTTGTAGAAAAATCAATAAAAAATAAATAAATTATTTATTTAAAAAATACTGAGGCATTTGAATAATAGTTTCTAAATATACCAGAACCAATCTGCTCTGTGAAACAACAGCAGCATCCAAACAGACGTTTGTTGATCTGCATTATGATAATGTTTTCTCCATGTGCACGAAAAGAAAATCTCTAAAATCAAAACAGAAACTCAATCTCAGGCCCAGTCCAGCAAAAATATCAAAAGACATCTAATAAAGCATCTAAGAGAGGACTGGATCAGGAACAGAACTATGATGATCATTTGGAATTTCAGGACTGAATAAGTTCGAGGGAAAAAAACCCCTAATGGGTTTAATCTGTAACACAGTTCCAGTAAAGCTGAAAGCAGGAGCCGAGTCCCACAGACACTCATGTCATCTTGCCAGTATAAGCATATACTTCTGCTCGGCTGAGCATTCAGTGATTAAACACTCCCACTGTCTAAACCCATCAGAATGTCTCTGGACAGTGAAGGGAAAAAAAGAGACAGATTTTGGTCAAAATGAAAGCACCTGATGGAAACACAAAAAAATGCTTTATGATTGTTGTACACTGTTGATGCTTTGCATATTGTACGCAGTTTGTGGCAACTAAAACACACATTATTATTTTGAAATCACACATTTAAATGAAACTGCGGTATACCACAGACAAACTCATAAAAAACTGTTTCAACAAAAGATGTTATTCAAGAAAATGCCAACTTAATGATGATTACTTTGACAGCATGTAAACAAACATGAGTTTATTTACCTGTCGGACCCATTTTGCACTTTCTTCTTTATGTTTTACCCAATTTACACATATTGCTTTTGTTCACTTAATATT